GGGGGGGAGGTGCGGAGCTCTCTTTCTTTGTATTTGTCTTTTTCCTTTCTTTCATTCTCTTATTTTCCCTTTCTCTTATGTTTCCTTCTGATACCCGCTAGAAGCCCATACTGACGGGATACAAGTGATACCTCCAAGATAAAACACAGTTGCTCTGTGCTAACGGTTTTAGACAAGCGTGAGACGCTTTGTAATCTGGAATATTGTGTGCAGCTAACACTGGGGCGGATTGTACCATTTGCTGGAGACGTCGTTTTCTTTCTTTTGTTGTACCGTTGTGTCCTGTATATCTTTGTGCAAAAAACAATAAAATAAAAATTTTGAATGGAAAAAAAAAATATGGCATTAGTGGAAATATGCTTTTAGAGACTTTTTGCTTAATAAATACCCCTTTGGGGGTCGAATGACGATTTGCCAGGGGTCGCCTAGCGGCTTCCGGCCACCCAGGAGAGAAGCGCTTTCTCTGCTCTTTTTTTTTCCTTTTCAGTCAGAAAAGAAAAAAAACTTTCTCATCGAGCAGACTAAACCTTTCCAGGAGAAAGTTTTTATTTTTTTTCGACAGGGTTAAAAGTAAACCTGCCGCTCCATGTGCACAGTGAGAGGGGATAGCAGTCTTCCCCACTCACCTGTCACAGAAGTTCCAGCACAGTGCTGTGCTAGGACTCCTGTATTGGAGTTGACAGGGTCAATAAAGAGAACCTGTCACCTCCAATTGCTATTACAGAGGGGCTTGTTACCTCTGTGTGATAGCAATGAAGTTAAGTGGAAAAAAAATAGATAAAAAAATTATTAAAAATAAACAATAATAGGATGAGAGTCCTCCTCAGCCCTCTCCTAGCGCAGCAGTGTCAGTTCTCCCGCCACGCCGCCAGATGTCGCTGCAGCAGCCGCGTCATCCCTAAATTTTACCGTTGGGGGGTCACCACAACTTGGCAAATGTTACCAAGGGGTCCCGGCCCTAGAAAGGTTGAGAACCACTGACTTAACCTTTCCAGGAAAAAATAATAACACAAAAATCACTTGCTGATACATGTGAACCAAGTGATAGCAGAAAAAAGGATCTACTCACAAATCACCACTGGAGGGAGCACTTATACCTCTGTGAATAACTTAAATTACAAAAAAAGCTCTACAGTGCTATAAGCTGCTAACTCTGTATTTGAAATACAATGATCAAAAGTTGGAACATCAATCTTAAAATGTCTTACTTTCCCAAGCTCCTCTATTTCTTCAGAGTCTTGCCAGTCCACATCCCATATCCTGATTGATTAGGAAGACAGGCTGCTTACCAACAAGTGAAGTTGGCTTCCTAGCCAATCGGGAAGCTGGGCGGCACGTCATGACCTGCCTCCCACCTTCCTGATTGGCTAGGAAGCCAGCTTCACTTGTTCCTAGGCAGCCTGGCTTCCTGGCCAATCAGGAAGCCAGGAGGCGGGTCATTACGTGCCGCCCGGCTTCCTAAATGGTTAGGAAGCCAGGCTGCCTAGCAAGCAGTGAAGCTGGCTTCCTAGCCAATCAGGAAGCCGGGAGGCAGTTCATAACCCGGCTTCCTGATTGGAAAGGAAGCCGGCTCCATGCTCCCTCGGCACTTGTGGTCAGAGGGAGATCTCCCTCTGACCGGAGGTTTTGGTATGGGAGGTAAGTATCGGAGCATTTGGGCAAGTATGGGTACTTGCCCAAATACTCGGTACCAGCACCAATACTGTTACTAGTATTGGTATCGGAGCATCCCTAATAAGCATTTTGATCATGTGATTCAGCAGGGATCATCAGTTTTCCCTACTCATAACATTTAGATTGTTACCTTGATGTGTTTATATATCATTAAATTTTTTATGTACCCTTAACTACCTCTGTTACATATAGGTTGCTACAATTTGTATTACTTTGTTACTTATTTTTTTAAATAAAACACTAGTAAAACAAAAGTTGGAACATCAATCAAGTAAATGTGAAAGATGTAGCAATATTTATCTTTATATGTTATGATAACAAGTTAACAACCTTACAAGTTCTTCTCACTAAACACACCAGATTTTCTCTTTATCAGTTATTTGATGATATATTTGGACCATGTTTAAATGTATTATAGGTGTGAAATGTTGATAATTATTTTCATGGGAGTACGAAATCCTTCTCTGCAGGGTTGCGTCAGAGTGTCGGTGACTAAAGAAGTATGTTTGGTGAGCGATTCCTCCTCCGATGGTTACAGAAATCGGAGAGGCTGTCAGGATGAAATCCATCCGCTGACTCCGAAGATATATACATATAATCTCCTCCCTCTGGAGCTCGGACTCCACCCTGTCACCTTCACCCTGCATGTTCCCAAGAAAGAAATTGTGATCAAGACTCTGCGGGTGGTGGTAGGTGCTTCAGTTGGAAATAAAATGTATGATTTCACACAAAAACATAACTCCAGAAACACATTAGGGGGAATTTACTAAAACTGAAGCAGATAGGATCTAGTGCAGCTGTGCATAGTACCTAATCAGATTCTATCTTCAGCATGATCAGTTACGCTTTGAGAATTAAATGGGATTGGATGGGATAAGATTGTGTCTGCTCCATTTTTACTAAATTCTCCTCATTGTTTTAACGTGAACCCTGGAATAAATAAGGCCAGGGTAAACTACTTATGTATTGTTTGATTATAGGCTCAGCAGTGTCTTACAGTGAAAACGCACATAAAACCATGATTAGATCTAAAGATATGGGCAGCTGAAGCTATATACAGATCGCCTAGGCAATTTAGCCCCTAGCACAGCAAATAGTAGCATGGTCTCATCCTTATTGTTTCACAGCAGCCCTAGAGTGAGACAATGTTCAGGAGAGTGACGGAGCTGAACAGAAAGTTGCAGCCCAGCAGGCATTGTGTATACATGTTTAGATCTACTTTTATATGCTTTCATTGTTTGAATAATAGAGTTCTTTGGGAAATTCTTTAGATGGCTAACACACCCAAACCCAGAGAAGGATGATGGACTCTTTGTCCTTTAGATCCCTGGGTTAGAAACAATACCATAACCAAGACATATTATTTAGAAGCTATGACTAAAACTGCAGTAAATGAACAGCTCTCATAGCACTCTGGCATAGATAAATGTATATACATTAATTTCATCCTCATTTTATGAATGTTGTCTCTCATCACTAAAAGCAAAGGGAGCCCAGGGTCTGCTTTCTGGGTTATCACCTAGTCTGCCATCATTACCATTCCACATTTGTAGAAACGTTTACAGACAGAATTGTTCTAGTGATGACTAACGGTGAATCTTCTTCTCTCTCAATACAGCCCGAAGGGATTCAGGAAGAAAATAGCATGGGATTCACTCTGGATCCACAGGGAATTCGTGGTATGTTCTGTCGTCTGGCTTTTCTAAACTTTCCTAAAAAGCGTCACCTGCAACTTGTAGGGTTGGGAAGAGGAGATGGTGGTCAGAGTTTTGAATGGGCTTGGGAGAACTCAGGGGAACTGGGTTCAAACCAGGCCAGCCTCATCTCTGCTCAGAAGTACCAGCTATTTTTCTTTAATCCAGATGGGAAGAGAGAAGAAAGATCAGGGAAACGAGTATAGGCAGCTAGTGGGGCTGTACTTAAGAAATTGTGATTTGCACTGCAGCTGATTAGAGAGGGTGGAGCAGCACTCTGAGCCAATCAGCGTATTATTGCTTTGTACAGTGCTGTCTGAATATGCTTTCTGGGGAAAAGATCATGTGATGTAATGAGTATGCTGCTGTCCCTTTATTGGCCAATCATTGGCTTATGGCAGCTGTCCAATAGAGATGTCTAGATTGTAAGATTTAACTGAATTAAAAATAGAGCACATGAAGGGTATTTAGTAGGGATGTACCGATATATCGGCCGCCGAAACATATCGGCCGAAAATTGCACTTTTGACATAATGCCGAAAGTGCCATTTTCCTGCCGATACATTGGCGCATCTGTGATTTCTTTTCTCCCCGCTGGGCGCTGCTCTATGTCTCAGCAGGGAGAAGAGAAAGTGACAGCCGGCCGAGCGCTGCGGTGGAGAGGGCTGTGAGCGGCCGGCGTATCCTCCCACACCGCTCTGCCGCCTATCACAGTCCGGCAGAGCGGTGTGGGGGCGGAGACAGCGCTGTCACAGGAGGCTGGGCTTTTATAAATAAAAATAAAATAAAAAACATTTTCGGTATCAGTTTCGGCCTGACATTTTTTTTATTTCGGTTTTGTTTCGGTTTAAAAATTTCCATTTCGGTGCACCTCCTAGTATTTAGCACTGTTTGTGTGGAGTTAGGTTTTTACAGAAATCAAGAAAATCCCTTTATGCAGTGACAGCAAGGAGTCACAAGCAGCACCACCCACTAAGTTCTAATCTTCACTGATAGGACTCCAGTATGCTCCAGTTGAACTCTATTGGCTTTTTTCATGTCTAAGGCCAGTACAAGTCTTGTGTATTTTAATAATTTCAGGAATAATGAAGAGGAATGAAGATGTGGCCTTCAAGATTCCAGTGAATATTGTGCCAAAATCAAAGATCAATCGCATCCTCTCCATCAATGGTAATCCACCTGTTGCACAATTGCCAAACTTCTGGCCTAATACCTGTTAAATTAGCAGCATAGCAGAATGGCCCCTGAGCTCCAACGTATGATGTGTGTAAGTGGCCCATTACATCCCAAATAGGTGATCATATGGGTAACTGGCCTAGTGACAGAGCAACAAGGTTAAAAAAAGGTCAACATAGTTCCATCTATTCCAATTTCTATACTATTCTGATTGCAGCATGCATCTCTAGCTGCCAGTAAATGTTGATAGTGGTGAAGTTAGATGGCCATATGAGGGAACCTTGCACCCCCTCTCTCCACATTGTCTGTGCTGTTAAACCCTATCCCTGCTACCCTGAAGTGAAAAAAAAGCAAATACCTT